CGCCATCTGTTGCTCTCCCCGCTCCCCTCAGCCGGGAGCCCCTCGCTGGGCGCCGCCTTACCCCCCTTATCCCGCCGCCCGGCCTGGCCGAACCCCCCCATCCCGCGGTGAAGTTGTTTTCTCCGTATCCCGTTACTCCTCAGGACAAATAGCGAGAGTTTGGGTGTTTTAAATGTTATTTAGTAACCCCAGCTGCTCCCGCTTGCTGCCTCACCCAGGGCTGCTCCCCTGCCTAGACCAGTCCTCTGCAGGATTAAGCCTGAATTGATAAACTCCTCACAGCAGATTTGGCTGTTTATGTAGGAATTGTCACGCCGTTTTCACTCCTTCCTTATACTGAAGATTTTCAGGGAAGCGATCGGATTATCGCTGCCTGAAGTGGTAGGACGTGATGCTGGGGATGAGCTGCTTGTATCTCAGCAGAGCCTGAACCAGCTGCAAAGGTAAAACCCCCAGCGCTGTCCCTGCCCACGAGATGGTGAAGAACTAAAGCTCCCCACGGCCCAACCTTCGTTTTAAATTTCAGAAGATCTCAAGCTCTGTATGAAGTTGAAGAGTTTGCTTTTAAGTGTGGCAGAGGACCCCCACCTGCTATTTAAATGATAAGCAGGTATTAATTCTCAGAATAAAGGATTTAGTAAGAGGTCTTACCCAAGTAGCTTTGGTTCTTGGGATCCTTTTAGACCTACTGTGTAAGGACTGTGTTTTATCTAAAATCTAACAGCAGGTGATCAGGTAGCTTGCTGCTAAGGGATATTGTCAGTTGTTTGCACAGTGAATTTGCTTATCATTTTGAATTGTTTCTTGCAGTAAGAATTAGCTGACTGTAATAAACAGCATTTGTATGTTTTAATTTATATCAGACTCTAGAACTAGGGACTTCTTACTGTAGGTAAGGTGAAGGAATTCCTTTTTTGCTTAGGGGGAACTGGAGCAGCACTGTTAGGCTCCTGTGCTGCTGGTAGCATCCATGTGCATGTCAAACTTGGAGTATTTTTTTCATCTGATTTTGTTGCTTTCTGATAATTGCATGATAAAATAGTTCTGTGTAGTCTATTAAAAGGTCCCTTCTCCCAGTACTGTTCCCAACAGTACTTCTTAATTAACACTCATTACCTGGCTCATCTTTATTTCAGGGAAGCTCTCACGTATTCACACACTGCTCAGTAACCATGGTGCTTTTATACTGATTTGGGTGATATTGGGAAAAACAAATAATCTGAAAAAAATAAAAATAGAATTAACCACGTAGGTTTATGATTAAAAAAAAATTTAGAACTGTGATGCATTCTTACTTTTTAAACACTGAATCATAATTGAAGTAGCTTTTTTCATTCAGTGCTTTCTATGGAAGCTTTTCAGATTTTGGTTTTATACTAGCAAGAAATACTGTAAATTATACAGAAGTGTTTATCTTGTTGATGAAACATTTCCTTAACTTTGACTAATATTGCTTCTATTAAATCACTTTCCCTGCAGACTGTTTGCAGGGATTCAGAGGAATAACTGCAGTGTCTCCTGCAGCTTAACAGCATACAAGTTTCTATTCTTGCTCTCTAAAGGAACAAAATGATTTCTGCTGATTCAATTTTTGTTACAAGTTGAGGAAAAAAAATGTCATTTACTTCATGGCAATGAAGCTGTTTAAGCTGCCCCAGCTCTCCAGTATCATTTACACCCATCACTTGAGACCTGCTGTCTTTTTACAGAGCAGAAAAGATCTTCCAGTAAAATGTTTTGGTGCTGTATTTAAATGTTACAACGTGATGATTTCATCTATAACCAAACCTGAAGCCATGAAGCTGTTTGCTGTGTGCCAGGCTGGGTATGGTGTGCCTGGACAGGATTGTGTGTTTTCCCTCAGGATTCTGCTTTCCAAATCTGAAGAGCATCTCTGCTGTGTGGAATTTGGTGTGTTTCATCACCCCAGAAATGGAGGAAAAAGCAGTGTTCTCCTCATTTCAAGGGTATTGAGGGAAGATCTGTTGTGGTGCCCAGGAGAGAAGCTGTGTTGGGGGATCACCAGGGCTCACAGCATGTCTGTGGGCATTTGAAGGTGGGAATACATGGGCAGGCAACATCAGCTGTTGATTGCCTGTTTCACTAGATGAAATGAGTCAGGGCACAGGAGACTGAAGGTGTAGGGACTCCAAGTTGAATTTCTTTCCTGTTAAGATGCTGACTGGACAGTTTCAGTTTCATCTGTTGACCAGTTCATGCAAGGTGAAAATCCCAGTGACCTTGCAGCCATCACTTTCCTGCTCCCTGGGTTAGCTGAATCACAGAATGTTACATAAACTGAACTGTAAAAGAAGCCACATCTTGTGGCTTGCTTTTTTTTTGTTGGCTTTTCCCCTTTCTTTTCCCCCTCTGACAGTGTGTGTGGTATTCTACGATAGCAGAGCTCCTGGCATTTGTTTGCAAACATTTTGGTTATTGATTCCTCTGTAGTTCCTAAAGTGACTTGGCAAAGTCCTTTCCTTAATTGTGTTGTTTACCTGGCTATCATCCTTGCCTGTCACTGCTCCCTCTTTTTTATGTTGTCAGCTTTTCATGTACAAAAGTGCCCTGTTTGGTTACATCAGACATGGAAATAACGTGAATGTCTTATGTCAAAACACTAAATATTCACTGCTCCCTCTTTTTTATGTTGTCAGCTTTTCATGTACAAAAGTGCCCTGTTTGGTTACATCAAACAGACATGGAAGTAACGTGAATGTCTTATGTCATAATACTAAATATTGGAGTTTTAAAACCTCCTTATGCTGGAACTTTGAGCTTAATTTTAATCTTCTAAATTACTTTAACCAAATTTGGCAAACGAAGGGAAAACTGGGATTATTTCTTTTCCCACAGCTCATTCTTTACGTCTTTAAGTTGATGTTTTAGAAAGTGACTTGCATTGCTCTTTTTAACAGTACCAGCTTTCTTTTCTGGCAGATATTTGCTTGTTTGTCTCTTTGGTGTCTAAAAGATGTTTTGCATTCAGGGAGCCTATACAAAGCCTCGTTGTACAGAATGTTAGCCAGAAGCAGAGATCAGGTGTCTTTTTGTATAAATAAAACCCAGATCTGCCTTCATTTTGTCCATCTCTTCTCTGCTTTGTTTCCAAAGTGCTGTTCCTCTGTGCTGATGTGGCAAACAGAGGAGCCCCTCTGCTCACCACACCACTGGGTCTTTGTCATCTGCAGCTCCTTGAATGGCATAACAGACAATAACAACTTTAAAGGAGGAGTAGTGGCTTCAGCTGCTGATCTGTGGATTCAGTTTTCATCGTGGTGTCTGACTGCACAGTGCCAGCAGGCTGGGGAGGAGCTCTGCTGGAGGCACAGCAGTTGTGCACTCCTTTAATCTGATTTTCCTGCTCCTTTTGCCTCTGTCCAGTCTGCCACTTTGACTTCATTTTGTAGTGCCTGAGGCTTGGACAGCCCCAACTTTTCAAAGCTCTTCATAGCGTGGCCAGCTTGACCAAAAGGCTTGACTGCAGGTGTCTGTGTCCTGCTCGTGGAGCCTGTGCTACCAAGCCAGGTGGTGGCTTTCAGTTTTACTGTGGTGGAGTGCTTTAATTTCCTTTTCTCTTTCCTTTTTGCATCAATGATCAGGCACAAACTGAGGTTTCCACCTGCTACATGTTCTCTTGCGTTGACATCCTTCTGTCTGCAGTGCTGAGGAGCATTTCCTGTGGGCACTTTGAAACAAGAAAACTTCTCTTAAACCTTTGTACCCATGAGTGAGCATGGATTTATTATAGACTTTTAAATGCATTTTTTAAATGCTTATTGGTTTCAGTTGATGGCATAGCTCAGTGACTGCCAGTTAAGCAAATACTCAAACAAGATCATTGTTGATGACACATTTACTTCCCCTTTTTTTAGTGTTGTCACAAATGAACACCCTCTCCAAATCTAGCTGTAGTACAGTTATATGTTTCCTGTCATTTACATGAGACTGTACAGTAGTGTGGTGACCTCCTGGTGAATTTTGCAGCAGCAGGTGGCAAAAGGTATTCTCCATTAAAGTCAGTTTTTATTGAGTAAAAACTAGTTCCCATGAAGTCCTCTGTTTAGTCTGTTGCTTGTTGGCTTTTTTTCCCTTCCTTGCTGTGTTTACTCCAGGCTGTAGGCACTGAGGAGAAGGGAGTCCTGTACCTGAGGAGATCCTGGGTTTGGTTCTCGTGTGTGCTGCTGGCTCAGGGAGGCTTCACACAGATGGTGTCACTTCTCTGTGTCCATGTGTTCCCCTCGAGGGAATAAAGAGATTCTTCAAATATCAGAAGATTAATAATTTGGGATGTGCTTTTAAGCTATTAAATTAGGAATTGCTGTTAAATGGCAAGTGTGTCATGGAGAAAAACTTCTAGAACAGTATTGGAGTTCTTGATTTCTGTCAGAGTAAAGCAGGAGAAGTTTTGGGTACTTGACTGGGTGACTTTTCTCTTCCTTTTCCTAGATTGAACAGCAGGACGTCCCGTTTGCAGAGGCAGGACACAGTCCTTCTGTGTCATGGATGGGAGAATGAACAAGTTTCATGTTGCTTTCCTTTTTTTTATGTAAAATTATTTGCCTTGAAGAGCAGTTAAAGCAAGATGATGGGGTGTCCTCACATTCTGTTTTGGTTTTATTTTTTGGAAGGCAGAAGCCCTGCTAGAAGCTGGAACATCAGGAAGAGCAGCTTTGGGTGAACGATGCTCAGAGACACCATGAAGTCCTGGAGTGACAGCCAGTCAGACCTCTACAGCAGCGACCAAGAGGAGGAGGAACAGATGATTTTTGGAGAAAATGAAGATGATTTGGAAGAGATGATGGATTTAAGTGACTTGCCTACCTCACTTTTTGCTTGCAGTGTTCATGAAGCTGTGTTTGAGGTGCAGGAAGAGAAGGTAAGGTGGAGAGAGGCGTATTTGGGGTGTGGTATTCTAAGTACAGATACAGCTGTTGAACATTTTTGTCTGGATTTTCAGTTTATTACTGCATATCATAATTGGAGGGGGAAAAAAGCAACCTAAAATGTTTCCCTCCTAAGCTCAGATCAGAACAAGAGCAGATATTGCTACATTATTCTGGCATTTGAAGCTGTTAGTTTGAAAAGCTCTCTCACCTTTTTTTTTTCTCTTTATCTAAGGTACCAAATCCAAGGATAGATTTAAATAAAATTTGAAAGCAAATTTAATTTTTTTATTTCAAGGCGAAGATTCTGTTAAAAAGAGCATTATAAATTTGCAGGATGTGTTATTTATTAAAGAACATAAAGATGAGACTCCACAGTGAATAAAACATTTCTTTCATGTTTTAATCTTTGTGAACAAGTGTTGTTCAGTAGTAATATATTTTTCTCTCTCTCTTTCATCCTGAGAATTTCGAAATTTCCTAAATCCCTCAGCACTTCAGTTTAAGTACAAATTAACAGGTTTACACAGCATTTCTGGAGGTGCTTGGGTGGAGATTCTAACGAGCAGCAGCATTTTTGGTGACATCTGCACTTTTGAGCAGCTGTCGCTAGATGGCAGGTTGTGTATGAGGAGTTTTAGTCTCACGAAGGGGCTCCTGGAATTCGGATTTAAACAGAGGCAGAGCTGCAGGAACACAGCTCTGCCAGGCAGGGTGACTGGGAGGAGTGTGGGGTGTGCAGGTTTAGGTGGGGAAGGAAGGGAGTGGGATTTTAGGGAGGAAAGTGAAAGGAAAATGTACTTTCATTGAGTGAAATGTTCATTTTGGAGAATCTTGTGTACTTCATCTCTAGGAAAGATTTGAAGCACTTTTCACAGTCTATGATAATCAAGTGACATTCCAGTTGTTTAAAAGCTTTAGAAGAGTGAGGATCAACTTCAGCAACCCAGAGGCAGCAGCAAGAGCACGGATAGAACTGCACGAAACGGACTTCAGTGGGAAAAAGCTGAAGCTGTACTTTGCACAGGTATTAGGGGACATCAGTACCTGTCCCTCATTTTCCTCTGTCCCATATTTGCCTGTGTTTCATTTGTGATAAATATCTGAAGTTGCCTTCAGCCTCATTCACCCACACTGCAGTCTGTTGCTTTCACTCACTGAGAAATTCATGCTTTAGGGGACAGTTTTGCTTCTCAGCTTGAGCTTGCAGAGTTGTGATTTGTGTGGAAGAGTCACTGGGTGGTGGCACAAAGCACCTTCCCCATACACAAACAGAAGCATTTGTGCTGAAAACCAGAAAAGTTCAACTGTCAACACTCATATAGGCAAATTTCTTAGCTACATAACAAGAGAATTAGTATCTGTCACCTTATGTTGTGTCTCATGGCTTTTGTCTTCAGGCACAGGTATCCAGTGAAATAGGTGACAAATCCTACCTCCTTCCTCCACAACCTGTTAAACAGTTCCTGATATCACCACCTGCCTCTCCACCAGTTGGGTGGAAACAGAGTGAAGATGCAACTCCCCTGATCAACTATGACTTGCTGTGTGCTGTCTCCAAGCTGGGGCCAGGTAGGGATATCCACCTGCTTTTGGTGTGTTACTTCACAAATAGTCACCAGGGAAATTTGTCCACTTAGGCCTTTCTGTGAGGAGAAACTGAGTTTTTCTTAGGTGATGTTTCTTACTTGAATAAAATGATCCATCACCTTTTTTATTTAATTTAACTGATTGAAAGAATAGCACAGAAGTGGATTGTGCTCTAGCTCCATCACAGCCATTTATTGAAGTCTGTCACAGCTTCAGGATTAAGTAACAAGAAGGGGAATGGAAAACTGCTAATATGTACTTTTTGTTTGATCATCAGATTGTGCTCTAGCTCCATCACAGCCATTTATTGAAGTCTGTCACAGCTTCAGGATTAAGTAACAAACAAGAAGGGGAATGGAAAGCTGCTAATCTGTACTTCTTGTCTGATCATCAGGCTTGTTTGTGAATCTTCCTGGGAAACATGCTGGTTGCTTTCCATGAAGAGCAGGGAATTGGGAGGCCTAGTGTTTTCAAATGCTTCTGTAGCTTCTAGTTTACAAATGTCATGTAAGTGTGCAGCAGAAATGGCACCACTTAAAAATTTCCCTGCTGCTTGTATCTGATGTCTTCAGAGTTTCACAGTAGTTGTACATCCCTCCCTCCCTTTAAATATCAACTAAAGGATTGTTTGTGTTCACAGGACAGTGTAACAGATACAGGGGCTATTTTAAAACCTTTAACAGGTCTGGAGAAGTGTGGAAATGGAGCAAATTAAAGATGACATGAGAAAAAAAATTAGTATTTGGTTGTGTTACTGGAGATTTTAAGGAGTTTTTGAGATGAAATGGCTTCATGCTTTCCCTTGGAGTCGTTCTTCACGTGAATTGTTTGCTGCTCTCCAGGGGAGAAGTATGAGCTTCATGCAGGAACAGAATCCACTCCCAGCGTAGTCGTCCACGTCTGTGAGAGTGAAACAGAGGAGGAGGAGGAGATAAAGAACCCCAAGCAGAAGATCATGCAGACGAGGCGCCCGGAGCCACCCGCCAGCATGCTGAGTGACCCCAAGGGGTTTGATTGTACACTGGAGGTAGGGGGTGCCATGCACTGCTAACTGTGGGGTGCTGAAGGGAGTTACCAGGTCAGACACTGAGTCCCTGTGTTGGTGTCTGCACTGCTGCTATATGTCATGTATAGCGACGACAGATTTCACTTGTAATTGTCTCATGTTCAAGAGTTTGGATGCCAATGCTCTGACAAGCACTTTAATTTTAGGGACTAGTCCCCCAAGTGTAGCAAATCCACCTGACTTGAAATAGTGAAATTATAATTCTTTTTTAGATGTTAACCTTTTCTTTATATTGTATAGTGTGATGTACCAAGTGCTGAGTTAATATCTTAATTACTGTGATGATGGGATTGAAGGGGGTTTGTTACATAGCAGTTAAAAGCTGATCTGTGCTGGTGTGACAGAGTCCAGTTGATAGAGTGTTAAATGCCAGTGAAATGTGCTCTTCACACTGAAATCCCTCCCAGCTGGAGCTGAGATCAGTCCTGGCTTTTCTCAGAAAGGCCAACACGTGTTTGATTTGACATGAGGCACAAGTACAGGTATGGAGCTGAGCTCACCTGGCTTGGCTGACTGCACAGCAGAACCACAGGCTGCTGAGGAAACAGACCTGGGCCTGCTCCAGTGCTGCTGCTGCCCTGTCTGTGGGGCACACTGCTGGGTACAGTGGTTTGCACTGACACCTAGCCAGGAGTGAATGACAACATGCAGAGTGAAACAGGGATTCTGCTGCTGAATGGCTTGTCTCTGATCCTCTCAAAAATGTGCTAACTTTTATTCCTCTATGGTCCTGGAGGTGGCCTAAGTTCATAAATAAACTCACTGACTGTTATATTATGTCTAAGTTACCTTAGGAGAGAAAACATCTAGGGATAATTCTGAATCTGAACTTCTCCAGTCTGTTTGGTATGTTTTTTTAAGATAATCAGTTGCCTGGCTTAGCCAGTTTTGATGCAGTTTCAGCCCTTGTTTGCTGTTTTTCCTTAAGACTTTTTCTGTGTAGTATCTTGAGACCAGGATGCATCTTTTAAAACACAGACCTTTGATTTCTGTCATCTTGTGTTAAGTGTTTTAGGAGGAGGAAAATCCTCCTTGGTACGATGACACACACTCTGATGCTTTTATGCTATTTTCTAACCAGCCTTTTTTAGTCTAGACAGATTCTTCTTTTTTCTATTTAAAATAATAAAAATATTTGTGGACAAACCAGGCTGCTGATGTTCATAGATACAAATCATTCAGAAATTGGCCTTCTTCAAATTCATTTTGATGTGTTTCAATTCTCCATGACGTGCTTAGTGAATTTTCAGAGGTGTTTTCACTTGATTGATGGCAGAGAGAAAAAGTGATGGCCATGAACTTGCCATGGGCACGGGAGTTTTCCACTGCATGTTGTGCCAGCTCGTGATCCCTTCCTGCCACCAGCATCAAGCTGCAAAATGGGATCCTGCAGGCAGGTCCTTGTCCCAGAGGCAGGAATAGTATATATCAAAAAGGTAGGAAAATGGGTTTTGTTCCTCCTGCCACCACAGGCGTGAAGTTTGTGTATCTCTTCAGGTATGAATCACTCAAAGTATGACTTCTCTGTCTCACTGCTCCGTGTTATTAAACAAAACCCAACAACCAACCCACCCAAGCCCTTGTATTGTCCATCAGGCTGCTGTGTTTTTAAAATTCCACAAGTCCCTTTGGGATTTTCTGTGGTGTTTATACTTTGTTAATGGTTTAATTTCTACCCCGTCGTAGAAGTTCCTGTCGGTAGGAATAAGTGGAAAACCTTCAGAAACAGTTTTATAAGGCAAACCAAGCAGTGATGTTGTCAATGTATCTTGTGTAAAACGTGTAACAATTTGCATTCCAACATCTTTCCTTGTGTAAAGACACTTCAAATAAAAACAATTCAGTGCCATTCACCTGGGGGTTTTTAACTCTGTTCTGTACTGCCCCGAGCTGGAGGAGTGAGGTTTCTAATGGTGTTACAGGCCTGTGGAGTTGAGCCAATGGCTGAGATGGTTTGTGGTTTTCCATAAGCAGTTATGGAAAAAAAGTGTTGAAATCATTGGGGTTTTCAACAGAAGACTCCTGGGAATCCCTGGGCTGCAGGAGGGACCCAGAGGGGCTGTGGTGGGGTTGGGTGCACAGCAGAGGTCCGTCGGCCCCACAGGAATTTGGAATGTGAGCTTGACACCAGCTGAGGCTGTTGGGGGAGAGAACATCCAGTCTGGGTTGAAGTATTTATTGTAATAAAGATAAATAATCACTTATTGTCAAAACCTCTCCAAAGGCTCATTTCCAGAGGGAGGAAGCAGAGTGTGGGTAAGGGACATGCCCATCTGGGTGACACTGGTGGAACACTGAGCTCCTGCCAGCAGGGTCCCCTCTCTGGCATCCATGGCTGAGCTCAGAAGTGATTCCACCCCACTTCCACTCCTCGTCTCCAGGGTGACAGAACCTCCCCTGCAGAATGAACACTTGCTGTATGTAGTGATGATTCAGCACTGCCCCCCAGCACCTCCTGCTCTGATCCCCAACCTGCCCTTAGCTGCAGTGGGTTTTTCAGAAGCAGTCTTGCACAAAGGCTCCAGCTCAGCCCTTTCTGAGCTTCACTTTGTACAAATAAACATCCCCAATTCCTCTAAAGCATTCTTCTTGAGAAGCAGCTGAAAAAACACATGGTCTTTTCTCTGGGCAGCCTGCCTGTGTGTTCTGCAGAAGAAGCTGCCAGGGGTACTCTGGTTTTCTCCTGTAAGAGCCAAGAACAGGTCTTGTTTTTGTGGTTACTGCATCTCATCCTGTCTGCCCCTTGCTGCTGAGCTGCCTCCCACCTGAAGGATCCCACGGATAAAATGTCTCTTGGTTAATTCATTCCCTGAAAGGTGGCATTGCCATTTCTGTTTGATTTTGGATTGCTGGTGTTTTTTAGCCTAGAACAGAAGATTGTCTGGTGAAACTCGTGCTTACCAGCTTTTATTTGCTTCTATTAATGTGTAAAACTCGTGGAGACATTGGTGGGGCTGGACAGTGAAGCTGGAGGCAGCAGGAGGAAACTGGTCCCCAGCACCTCAGAGCAAGGTGTGCCTCAGCCACTGCTCACCTTTGTCCTTCAGCAGCTTCTCACCTCTGCTCTCAGCAAGGCAAAATTCTTTTTCTCCTGTAGCAACTGACTGAGCTGGAATTTGAGTGAGATTCCACCTTTCTCATCACAGGCAGACAGCAAATTTAACCCGTGGTGCTGGGAACTGACCTTATGACCCAGGAGTACAACAGAACCTACTTGGCAGTGGGAGCTGGATGGGTAAATTCAGAGCCTTGACATGCTGTTAGCTTCTGTCACTCCCTGATGGGTTTTGTGAGGCTGCAGAGCAGACCTGTAGTTTCTAATTGAGGGTTATGGACTCTGGAGTTCATTGGCTTCATTAGGACTGTTCTGGAGCATCCCAGTATCTCCTTTGGTCCTCCACTAATGCTGCCAGTGGGATAAGGTCAGGAGGGGTGGCTGGTGACCTGTGAACTCAACTTATTGAAAGCAGAGCTTTGTCCAGAGCAGTGCATAAAGTGTATGGCTGCAGTTCATACTCTGAACCTGGTGAGAGCCTCCTTCCCAAGCAGGCACCTGGGAAAGTCACACCCACCCTCTCTTTGGCCACTGGAGGCAAGAGGGGGCAAAGTCTGTATCCTCCTGCCCAAGCAGGCACCGGGTAAAGTCACACCCACCCTCTCTTTCACTGGAGGCAAGAGGGGGCAAAGTCTGTGTGAGCATCTTCAAAATCCCAGTCCCTTCCCCAAACTCCCCCTGAATCAAACCTCAGCTTTACCAAGGCAGGCAGCAGCTGCTGAGGAGCGAGGTCAGAGCCGTGCTCTGGGTGCACACACAGTCCTGGCCGCTCCAGGGGCGGGGCGGGGCGGGGCCTTTCTGTGAGCTCCTGATGTTCTGAGAGGTTCATTGCAGAGAGGCCGGGAGGCGTTTGCTCGGAGCCTCACCTTGCCCCCGAGGCTCTGTGCCGGGCTGGGGTCTGCCAGGCAGCACAGGCTCCGTGGCTCGGGGCGGTTTGGGAGCCAGCTGTGCCTC